CATGGCCGTGGGCTCAGGCACCGAAGTGGCACGAGCGTGGATCCCAGCTCCCGCTGGTGCAGTACACCCTCGCTCCACCGCGCCGCCCGCTCTGCCAGCTGCAGGGCCTTGCTCAGGTCCATCCACGGTGTGGCACTCGGAGAAGCACGAGGCTGGATTGGAGCTGTTGGGGAACGCAGCCGCCAGCGCCCCGCACCACGAGGCTCAGCTCCCGCCTGGCTGACGCAGCCCGCACGGACATCTCGCAGCTCCGCCGCCTGCAGCCCAGCGCAGGCAGAGCTCTGCGGCCATCCTTGCCGCTTTTCGAGGGGCAGGGTACGGCCCAGCACCTCACAGCACATCTCCCAGGGTCCGGCCGCTCCAAGCACGGCTGTGGCATCAGCCTTCCACGACAAGAACTTTCTCCCAGAGTAAGAGCTGTAACAGACTGACTCGTGAGACAAATTCCACTCTTTTTTAAAAATATTTTATTAATAACCCATTAGTTAAGGAATATAAGGACAATGTCTTCTTACACTTTAACACTAAAGAGTATTTGTGGAGTAAGAACAGTCTCTGAAGAAAGAAAGTTATAATTAAGTAAGTACAGCATGGAAACAAACACAGACACAATCTTCAAACAAGATCAAGTTCTGGTTACACATCCTTATGCACTGTGTAGAAAATTAAATGAAATTTAATTTTAAAACATAAGAAAGGGAATACAATAACAGAACTAGATGGTAGATTTCTCCTGGACTAAACACCTTTTCTCTAACAAAAGTATTGATCAGAAGAGACGCGATGATCCCTTCAAAACACCTATTTCTAATGAGATCAACAACACCTATAGCGCTCTATTAAAAAGGTTGCTTTCTTACACAGCGTATTTCATGGGCTGACCTCAGGACTGTTAGCTAGTAATGTAAAGAATTCTCAAAACCTAGATTATAAGTTATCTCACTTGAACTATTTAAACCAGAACTTTGCTGTCTGTTAAGTAAGAAATCAAATCAACAAAAAGTTGAAAGAGATTTTTTTTATCCATGTGTTTCACGCCACAAAGAATTCAAAGAAATAAAAGGATGAGAACTGTGACTCCTGCAGCAAGATGGGGAATATACAGTTGTGTAGCCAAACGGTAACATTAATACTACAAAATTATGCCAGTGAGATAAACCTGACATTTTAACAATGTAAAACAATATACACCAGCAAAAAGTTGAACGGCAATGATCTTTAGTGTTACTGAAAGGAAAAAAAAGGGAGAAAGGAGCCTGATTGATGAAGTACGATGGGTAATTAAAAGTATCAACAGTTTGTGCGTCTGCGAGAAATCTGCAAGAAAGCTACTTATTTCATGATAAAAAAATATATGCACTGGTTGTTTCAGCTTTACACATCAAATGTGTATTATCTGCCGTCTTCCACTCACTGCTGGCTGAGACACGAGAGGTCCCACGTGTGTTCAGGACAGGCGGGACCTGGGGCACAGCCGAGTTCCGCGAGGACACCCAGCACTGTGTGGACACGCGCTCGTACGAAGAGCGGCTTCGCTGCTGCTGGTCAGCCCGGATCGCCTGCCTCGGAGGGAACAGCTGTGATTTCTGTCACTGAGGTCTGGCGTACCGTTGTACCACCTGGCCCACGGCCACCGCAGCACTTGGGACATCCAAATGCTGCTGGTTTCACGCTCTGGCACAATTCAGTGGGGTGTAACGAGACCAGAAGCAGCCTCAGCGTGAGGAGACAGAGTGTTTCCATGATGCATAAGCAGAATTGTTTGCACGCTGCTGCATCTGCCCCACAGCTCTCGGAGCACGTAACTTGGTGGTTTTGTCATCGGCCCAAGGTGATCCAGGGGAACGGTGCCACACCGTGCCTGCCTGCGTTGGCTTCAGCGGCAGGCAGGGGTAGCTTTTGGGTAGCTTTTAGGCAGCTCAGCAACGCTCACGCCATGGCTGTATGACGGCGAAAGTCAGTACAGACAAAGCAGAGGGTGCGTGTACAAAGGAATGCCCCAGAAAATGTGACATCAACCCCTGGACTCAGCCTCCATCCCCACAGTCCCCTGGATGGAAAGCTCCGGGCTGGTACGTGACCTGCCCCAGGTACAGTACCACGGTGCGGAGCTGGGAGAACTCCGGTGTCCTGGCCATACCTGCTGCTGGCCAAGCTCCTCCCGGCGCTGCCCTCCGGCAGCCGAGACACTCGGCAGAAGCGGTCCTTTGGCATACCGTCATGCTTGCAGACGGGTGACTTGGTTTTGGAGGTGAAAGGAAGTCACCGGGGGTTCCTCTGGAGTGGGCTTTGTGGAGAAGTGCCCTTCTCCCCTTCCGCACACCAGCGGTGGCAATGTGGCATGTACAGGGTCCGTCCTGTCTCTTGGGAAGAGCAAGGCCTCTTTCCCCAAACTAACTGCGAGCTGAGGTCCAGCTGCAGAGACCTCGCCCCCAGCCACTGCTCTGGGGCTGGAGGGTTTGCACCTCTGCAATCGCATCCGCTCCCAGGTAACTGTGAATTGCCCTTATTGCCCGCAATAACACTTCACTGCCTTATCTGTAACCCTGCCAAGTCATTAGTTTCAAGGACTCGTGGCATTGAGCTCTGGAGGTTAATCACGCACTTCCTCTGCCCAGCGATGATTCTGTGCCTTGCTAGCTCCTCGCTCTGGTAGCGCACACGCACTAACTCCTGCCTAGCCTGCTCGCTGGCACCGATCTCCAGCCTGCGTGCCACAGCCCCTCAGAGTAACAGCACTGCAGAGCATGGAATGGCGTTTCTGAGCCTCCTCAAGATACCAAGCAACAGAGCAAGTGCATCGAGAGGAAATACAGCCATTTACCACAACAGTGGGCCACGCTGGGAGGAGATGCTGTAACACGGGGAGAGGTGGAAGCTCCATGTCCTCCCCAGCAGGGTCCGTGGAGGTTGGAGGTGCTCCTCTGCTGAAGGGTCAGAGCTAACGGTGTTTAATGGAGGATTACAAAGACACAGGCTGGTCCGGCTCAGCTCTGAACGCAGGGCACGCGGTGACAGGGCTCTTCACAACAGAGGTGGGAATAGGATGCTGGAGCAGCAAGGTTCTCCTTGCTTCAAGCAGTGGTATCTCACTCCAGATTTCACCCAAAAAAAAAAAAAAAAAAAAGTCTAAAGCCTTTCACAGGGTCTCTGATCAGCACACAGCTCCCTGTATAGCTTTGGGGGAATTCCGGTAGGAAAAGAGGGAGACTGGTATCTTTTCCCTCATTGTTTAATAAAGAAATGGCTGGATGTCAGCATCCTTCAGGAAGGCAGAACATCTACCAAACACCCAATGAGCAGAATCACCGATCCTTGTTACCCCCGAGGCGCTGGTCCAGCCCGTAGCGTTCACAGTCAAACTCCGCAAGCCTGGAACAGGGCAGAGACAGGCTGAAGAACAGGTAGAGAGAGGTTCACCCGACCCCAGGAAGGCCAGGCTGGGAGACATGTCAGCAGCAAGCAAACTGCGTCAGCAAGGAAGCGTCACCGAATGATTTTCAAATGTCATCTGTAGTAAAACCAGACCAACTGGTACAAAAGTTTAATTTTTAGGCTCTGGTGGTGCTCTGGTCTCAAAAAAAAAAAACAAAATAAAGAGTCTTTGGCCAGGACTCTCAGAAGTGACCGGAAATTTTCACCTGTTCATCCACAGCCTTCCGCGAGCCACTGCTTACAGCAAGCTGAGCGCTGCTCTCTGGAACCGAGAATCATCTGAGGTGTCTCCACTTGGGCACAAAAAGCCCCCAAAGAATAGATGTCCCCAAGATCACAAGTTACTTTTGCAATTGTTGGTTCTTTTCTCTCCTTGCTAGTATAAGCTTCTCAAGGAAAGATGAATCGGCATCCCGCCAGCTGAAGCAGTCTCCCTCGCTCTCTTGCAAAACACAGTCCTAGAGAGAAACACAACCCAACTCTCCAGCTGTAGGGAAGGTGTCCTAGAGCAACACTTAGACACAAAGCAAGAGAGACATCCGATCTGCAGCACTGCGCATGAAAAAGAGTCAACAACCAGTGCAAACATATTCTTTAGAAAAAGGCAGTATAAGAATAAGTTAAAACCTATAATGGACTATAACAAAAGAGTAGTTCTACTGCTTTTTTTCTCCAACAGACATGAGGTAGTTGTGTTGTTAGGGAGGAAAAAATAAAGAAAGAGAGAAGTAGTAAAAATGCTACTCTATACCACACACTACTCCACTTTATAAAATTAAATAATATAATGTTCCAAGGAAATAAAAATACATGTTGTACATTAAAAGGACAGATGTGTACCTAAAATATTAGGTACAAGAACCTACATAAAACAAAGTCCAGGTTGGTGAAATGACCCAGACACTGAAGAAGGTTCTATATAGTACACGTTGTCAGAGGCACTCGTAGAGTGTGTAATAAAAGGCCACTACAACAGCCTGCCAGTAACAGTTACTGCGGTAGTGCACAAAGAGAGCCTTATAATCCCTTCAACCGCGGGAGGGCAGAAAAGGCTGGTGGTTACAGCTCACGGCATTTGTTTGTGTTGGCTTCCACCCCTCGTGGGACTCCGCTGACGACATTCATCCCAAGGCTGCGAGGCAGCAGGCAGTGCCAAGGTGCTCCCTCGTGCAGGGACAGCTGAGAAGAATCGCTCGGTGTGCCCTGCCTCTTCCGAGCGTTCACAGCCGCCTTGCCAGCCGCCTCGAGGACTGCAGCGAAGTGACAGCCCCAGTCTCACGCAGAAGGCTCTGTTCTAGCTGTGGTTTCACATCAGACTTTGGCAGATGGCTCAATCCCACGAAAACAGAGTTACTCATCAGCCTCAGCGGGAAGGAGACGGGCCCTCACCAATCCACCTGCTGATTTCTTGAAGGCAGTATGTACAGCTGACAGGTCCAAACCCTGTTCTGGCGAGATGCTGCGCCTCCTCAGCTCCTGCTGGGCTCGGCAAGTCGAGGGCAAGCAGTACCTCACAGGGACAGGCCCTCACTAGTGCTTCTAGCTCTCTCATGATCAAAACCAGATTAGTTCACTCTTCCAGGATTGTGGACACCTGCCACGTTCTCAGATGCTGAGGATGAACTGGTTAAATGAGAGTTACTACAGAGAGGGGCCTCCTCCGGGGCCGGGCAACGCAACTGGCACTTGACTGGCTGCACATCCCCCCTGCCCTCCTGGATGGAGTCCGAATCTCCGCTCTCCACTGAATCCAGACTCTCCCCGTGCCTGTGGAAGCCATTGGTGAGCCCACGGACGCAAACGGCCTCTGGGGTGTCAGTCTTTGTGTCGGTAGGTAACAGCTCATCCCGGGACCAAGTCTCGGAATTGGCCGTGCCGTCCCCCAGCACTTGGCTAGTGTTCTGCTGGGCGCTGGGAGAGCTGGGAAGAGCCGGCTCTCCGGAGGGGAGCTCGTCAGGCTCCTGGTCCTCGGTTTCTGTCTCTTCGCTCTCCAGGGTGTGCAGCTGGGAGTTGTAGTCTCTGTCAGAAGCTGAAAAATCAGAATGGACGATGACCTCTGCTTCTACTTGGTGGAGGTTGGCTGGCGGGTGGCTTTTCTTTGCTTCGTTCTGTTATCAAACGGGAAAAATTTAAAAAATAAAAGAAGGTAAAGTAAATGAGATTCAGATAATTGAGGCTGTGACCCAACCAAGCACTGAAATGTTTCTTTTTAATCCCACAGAGTGCAATGGGATGTACGTGTGCTGCTATTAAGCATTATCTTGATATGCTTCTCAGAGCTGAAGTCCTAAGCAGCATCTCAAATCACCTCAGGATCATTGTTCCTATTTTACATTTGGCAAAGCAAGTCCCAAGGGAGTGAAGTGATTTGCCCACGATTTCTTGGCAGGCTGGAGCAACCATTCCTCCAAGCCTCTGTCAAAGACCACAGTTCTCAAAACTCAAGAGTCTGTTTCCATATTAAGGACCAGATTTCCAGAGGGCAAGTGGGCAGTGCTCTAGGAAACTGGCTTCTGAGACACCTCATGATACAGACCCACGGCTAGATACCAGCACTGCCTTCACTGTCCTGGTGTCACCTTGGCTACACATCACAAAATGTTTGCTCCTTAGAGCCCTGGTCACAGCCTGCAAAAGTTGGGGTAAATTCAAGCACTTTAATTCAGAAAGAAGACAATCCGTTCTCCTCCGCTGTTCAAGCGGAGTTCAGGCTACAGGTCCCCACAAATCTGGCAGGTCATTCTGCTAGATCACCACTCAGTAACTTAACAGGCAAATTATTTTGGAAGCTCACAAAGAGCTCTCCAGGCAATCGGCGCTCAGATTCTGGGCTGAGTGTGATTTAGTAGCAAGACGACAACTCAGAGCAGCGATATCCCACACGTAATTTGCGCTTTCTGTTGAAGCCAACTTGGTGCATCATTTACATATTTTAGCACTTTTCTTCTTTTGTTGACAAACTCTGATGGGTAAGCTGTGCTGTAAATGGTGCCCTGTAATTAGGTTGTAAAACATTGCCGTAACTCTACCCACAACGTTAATGACATCCTGTGTATAACTGATTTTCACACGACTACCTGGGAAGGAAGCATAGGTAGCTTACTTAGAAGTACCTGCTGGGGGTGGAGGGGTGAACTTTTTAAAACAACAACCAAAATCATCTTCTGGTGGAGAGTCAACCTGAGCAGGCGTCGGCCTGCTTTGCTGAGACCGTGGCACAGACGTCACGATCCTTGTACAAACTCTCCCAAACACGGGAGTACCCATCTATTCCAATGAAGCAACATCAGAAACAGCATTTCCTCCCAACCTGTGCACCCACACATGGAAGACGAGTGCCATGGAAATTGCTCTACCCTATCTGGAGAAGGAGTTTAAATCAACTCTTGATCTTTGACTCCTTTTACAGGCAAAAATGCAATCCCTCCTTCAGGCGAGCATGCTGTAGATCTTAGTGACTGTGCTGAGCACACAGCTCCCGACTCACTTGGCAGGCTGCTTGCCGCATGGCCACAGCAAGGACGCAAAGCAGACTGCTGGTGCCTGGCCCGGGGTCCCCGGCAATCACAGAATCACGGAATCGGTCGGGAGGGCCCTCTGTGGGTCACCCAGCCCAACCCCCTGCCCAAGCAGGGTCACCCAGAGCAGGCTGCACAGCACCGCGTCCAGGCGGGTCTGGAATATCTCCAGAGAAGGAGACTCCACAGCCTCCCT